CCCCCAACCCCCGACCCCACAGATCAGGATCAGGGCAGGTCGCTAACGGCGTTAATTAGATCTCAGGGCTGGAGGCCGCCGAGCAGAGAGAGCCCCACCGTCAGCTGCTGCACTTGTGAAAAGTTAATGCAATTAAGCCTTCCCTCTAAACTAATTAGGCAGCAATCTGCCACGCAAGGAGCTGCGCTGGCTGCCCAGAGCCGGGGGCAGAGAGGGGGGATGGGAGATTGGGGGGGGACGGGGGACAGAAGGGGGGTTGCAGCGCTATGGGAGGCAACGTCCCCGTGTCACCAGCGTGGAGGTGGGGTGGGTGCAGGGGGGGTGGGTGCGGGGCTGCTGGGGGGGCTGGGGGGAGGTTGGGTGCTGCAAAGCATCTGTGGTGCTTGGCACAGCAGGGGCCCTGGCAAGCAGTTGGTGCAACTTAGAGTTGGTGCAACCCACGTAGAGTTGGTGCAACCCACGCTTGGTGCAACCCACACTTGGTGCACGTGGTGCCCTTGCAAAGCTGCATGGCATTGGTGCAACCAACTTTTGTGCAACCCAGTCTTGGTGCACGTGGTGCCCCTGCAAAGCTGCAAGGCATTGGTGCAACCAACATTTGATGCAACCCAGTCTTGATGCACGTGGTGCCCTTGCAAAGGTGCATGGCATTGGTTAAACCCATGCTTGGTGCAACCAATGTTTGGTGCACGTGGTGCCCCTGCAAAGCTGCAAGGCATTGGTGCAACCCGTGCTTGGTGCAATCCACACTTGATGCACGTGGTGCCCTTGCAAAGATGCATGGTGTTGGTGCAACCCATGCTTGTGCTGGGTGCACGTGGTGCCCTTGCAAAGGTGCATGGCGTTGGTGCAACCCATGCTTGGTGCAAATCATGCTTGGTGCAAACCACTCTTGGTGCCCGTGGTCCCCTTGCAAAGATGCATGGTGTTGGTGCAACTCATGTTTCACTTGATGCACGTGGTCCCCTTGCAAAGCTGCATGGCGTTGGTGCAACCCACTCTTGGTGCACGTGGTGCCACTGCAAAGCTGCATGGCATTGGTGCAACCCATGCTTGGTGCAACCCACCCTTGGTGCATGTGGTGCCCCTGCAAAGCTGCATGGCATCAGTGCAACCCACTCTTGTGCTGGGTGCACGTGGTGCCCTTACAACTGTGCACAGCCCATTTAATGAGGGCTGCTATGGGGCTGTCCCTAATCCAATCCCCCCCATCACCTCCTCACGCCCCCCCCACGTCCCCTCGTGTCCCCGCAGCCCCCCCCCTTCACTCCCAGCCCCACTGCACCAAGGC